CATCTCCCCCCTGGAAACCCCTCTCCATTTCACTCTTGGATCTCACTGTCAACACATTTCATTTGCCGCTCCGGCAGGCAGGCAGACCGTTCATTTGCTCAATCGCTCGGTCAGTCAGTCAGTCAGTCAGTTAGTCAGTCTTTCAATCCAGAGCGTGGGTCCCAAGGCCTGGGGGATTTTCACTTTTCATATGCCAACAAATTTTTCTGTCCGCGACCCCCTGAACTTTTGCCAGGAGGAGAAGCTGAGATGCCGCTCTGGCACAATGGAAAACTGATATGGGTCACCCAGGTATACAGGTACGGATACACAGGTAGAACGTCGTCATTCCACCATTTGAATGTCCAACATGGGCTACCGTTCGAATCCTTGCCAGCCCCTTGTTATCCATTCCGTTGTCGTCGTCGTCGTCGCCGGTTGTCAATGTTAGCTGTCAGTTTTGCGCTGCCGCCTGACAGGCCTACAAGAGCCGGCTAACTGGACACGAGATGAGCGGTGGTAACATCACCTACATCCAACCACCGACCACTACTTACTAACCACCGCTGCAGAGTGTGCCAATTTCCAGCAAACAGCAGCCACACACTCCATTAATCACGGCCAGCCGAATTGGACAATGGCCGAGAGAGCTCTTCACAAATCATAACCGCAGAGTTTTGCCAACGTACTGACACATTTTCGTGGCCCATTGGTAATTACGGATGGGAAGTGGCTATAAATTAACCTTAATTGAATGCATTTGACAGAGCGGCAGCAAGCTTACAACTTTGTGGGAGTCGTCTGGCAATGAACTGGAGCAGCAGCAGCCACAACCTTTAATAAGCCCAATTAGAGCAATGCTCGAGCCCTTACTTGGCCATTATCGTTAGCCCATTTCTAGAGTCCAACAGGCCAACTTGTCGTCGTGGTGGCTTCTGGCAGACCCACCTCCTTTGTTGTTGTTTTTCTCAACAAGAAAGTGAATCTGCCGGCCCAAATGAAAACTTCACTTTCCAGCTCAAGTGCAGCCACAGCGGTCAATTGCAAATCTCGAGAGTCGCGGCTTTCTTTGTTGGCGGCGCACTCACAAATTGCTTCGATTTAATAACAACCATCGTCCGGCGCCGCGCTCCACTCGATCATTTTAATTTTTACTAGGTGTTTATGGGCAGTCGTGACACTAGACTTTGTCGGGCTTATGATGAGCTGTGGAACCAGCTGGAGAGCCACGGGCACAGCCTTTGACATTTGAATCAAGTGGATTACCCGTTTTCGGGACTCGGGCTGGGTCAGCGAAAGCCGAAGCGAGGTCGAACAATCGATCAGAGCAACGTCCTAGTCATTCTCTGTCACTTTCTTTACCCCATCGCAGGATGGAATGTGCAGGCGGTTATCCAAAAGCCAGAAACATATGCTAATTCGGTTAGAAAGTAAGTGCACATGGCGCATATCTAATTGTTCGCCCTCCCCCGAGAGAAGAAGCTCCAAACAAGTGAAATGGCCAAACATGGCAAACCTGCAACTGCAATTCCAAGCAAAAAAATAACAGAAAAACCCAAGTCACTGTGATTGCTGTTGAGTAGAGTGGATAGAGAGAGAGGAGCGGCCATAAGGCACGCAAATGTGTTAGACTCGGCCGCCTTTGTTGGCCAATTGCCCATATATATAAATACTCGGCCCGAATATTCAGCATAAACTTCCGCAAATCTAATTCGGTGTCTTTTGTGGGCTGACCCACAAAGCGAATTTGTGCCCGGCTTTTAAGCAAATTAGTCATATGTACTATATATATGACAGTTCTTCCTCCAGGTCTCTGGTCTCTTGGTCTCTGGATTCCAAACATATCTGTACCTCTTGGCTAGTGACCACTGGCCTTTCACTACTTTTCAAACTGTCGCGCCATTGTTGCCACTGCGGCATTGTTTGATAAAAGTGAAGATAGCACTGGGATTGAGAGAAAACATTTGGAGACACGGTGTAAACAGCATTCATATCTCCGCCTGATCTAGTTCCAGCGATCTCAGACAAGCTACAAATAAACAGCGGCGATCCCAATCGACGACAGGCAGCCGGAGCTGACCCATTGTCCCTGTGCTGCCTGACCATTCAATTTGGTGGAACAGGTGGATTTACTGGAAGGAATTTTGCTTGCTAAGATATTTCCCTGCAATTGGGAGAAACTATGTCTTACAGAATATCTTACAGATTAATCTGGGAAGTTGGGAAATGAAGTTAAATGTTTTAATGAATTTGTATTCCGAGTTCTGTGACTTAATTCATTTGTTGTTTCCTGAAAACTAGAACAAAGTTTTATAATTTATAATACGCATTTTTTAATTGGTTACTTTACTTGGCTAGATGTTTAATTCACATTTATTTAACATAAAAAACAAATAGTTTTCCACTGTAAATGTTTGGGGTCAAATCTTTGTGGGAATTTCGACAAAAAACCACAAAGAACCTAAGACCCAGAACATGATTTACTGTTCTTTCTCTCTGCGATCTTGTTAGCTCAACAAGAATGTAAAGAAAATTGGACAAAAAATGGCCAAAAATTACATAATGATTGGATGGCAACTAAGTGAAATATCACGAATCCTCGGTTATGTTACCCAAAAGACCCAAGAACCCATCTCCAACTCCAAGTCCAACTCCATCTCCATCTCCATCCGCATCTCGCATTGGGGCAATGCTCTTCCACACGCATTTCCAGATTCCCGGCTTCTTGTTAGCGGACGATTATCGCCGCAACCGAGGCTGGCAATCATAACCAGGAGGTGGAGTGGAGTGGAGTCGAGGCTAATTAATATGTGTGCCCTGGGCATCTCACACCCAGAAACACCCTCCTGGCCTGGGGCGGCACCAGAGAAATGCGAGGCGGCCAAACCCATTCGAGTGGCCGTTGGGATGCGGCATAACCGAGTGCCATATACATATGCTAATTAGACGTACTCGCAGCCACTTAGCAGCCACAGATACAGATCTCGACCGGCTAATTGCTGGTCACTGGCCACATGCATTTTGTGGGTTAACAGGTGACGTAAAGCGGAAACCTGGAGCACGGGATGGATACTGAAACCACATTCAGAATTTCCCTATGACCGCTAGCCCGATGCCAGCTGCCACGCCCTCCCACTGGAGAGCGGTGTTTTGAAGAACAAACGAATAATTAGCATGGAGAAATGATTGCACTAATTGTGGCATGAGAAAGGCAAGACCAAGACTCGGGCAGAGGAGCAGCGCCAACTACACTCACTGCGCCAAGTGTGGGAAATGCAAGCGATCTTTCATTAGTTGTCTCATTAATGGGGGAGAGATGTGGCAGCAGTTGTGGGCCCTGGGGCAAGATTTTGGCTAATTTGGGCAGGCGGCTCCATAAATTATGCAATCTGAGTGAGCAGAGAGAGGCGGCAGCACCGGCTGCAGCCATAAGGAGCGCTTGAAACGAACCCCTTTGAAGCGCCGCCCGGCATTCTCACATTTGTCAACACAGTTGGCAACAGAGTTGCAGGAATTTCCAGCCGGACAACATGGCCTTAAATACCCCATTCAAATGGGTTACACAGACACTACTCCACCACTCTCTGGGGAGGATTAACTTGTGATGGAAACCGACGGAGCGGGCAGGGCCGCTGACCCAGGGATGCCGCCGCCTTGATAAATTTCTTAATTTTAGGGAATCGGTTTTACTTAATCCATGTTTGTTTATGGCCCCAACGAACGGACCAGGGAATAGAAACTTCGTCTTGCTGCTCCCTGGATTGATCTATGAGCGTGTTCACAGTTGCCACTTGCTCGATTGCCAGCACATAAATTCCCTTGGCAGCAGCGCCAATCGTTCATCGATTCACCTCAGCCACAGCCACAGCCATAGAAGCTTGAGAGGATCAGGAGGTTGGAAGTGGATGTGGAAATGGAGCCACAGAGCATCGATCGGCAAGTTCATTTGCACACCGAGCTGGCAATTTCACAGATTTATCATCGTTTTATTTTTATCGTGCGGCAGAGAAAAAGAAGGAGAAAAACACAAAATTTATTAATATGCCAAGTGCGAAGAATATGCATAGAGAAACCCGTTCCAAGGCCAGATATTAAAGCATCTCCTGGGAGAAGTGTAAGTGGAGCTTGGATGCGGAGGAAGCCAGCGTTTACGCACATTGCCGTTAGCCCAATTCACTTTCACTTGGGCGGATTTAAGGCGACACCGGAGAGACCTACCTAATTGGATAGATCGGAGAGAGATCTGGCGGGAACTCGGATAAGTTGTTGACTTATCGCGTGCCGAACAGCCATCGCCATCAGTTTGCACTCAAGAGTGGTTTAGGAGGAGCCTGAACCTAAACCTGGGACTGGGGTTGGGATTGGGGTTGGGGTTGGGCTTGGGCAAATAAATTGCCAGCTGCCGGAGGCGGAGATCTTCTTGGCATGCAAATGGCGATCAAGATCGCGATGTTTGCGTGGCCTGTTATGAGTCAATCAGACGCCTGCCTACATTGTCACCATCACTTGGCTCGGATAGGATCGGAGGATGTCTGCTCCGTTGGTTCGCTGGATCTCTCGGGTTCTGTGGCTGCCTGCAGCGCCGATGGAAGATGGCTAGATGGGCGCTGGAGATTGTCGCGATTGCATCATAAAATTTAACTTCCCCGCCAGCCAATTCCAGTGGTCCCGGGCCAGCAGCTCCAAGCCAAGTCAAAGTCATTGCATAAATTGGCAGGAGCTGTATAGGAGCTGCGTCCGCATCTGCATCTATTGCATCTATCGATGTCGCGCCGGCTCCACTGCCTGTTGATGGGGCTTATAAGGCGCCGCTTAGGCAAAAAGGGGCAACGCCAAATGCCACCGCCTCCCAGCTTCCAGCTTCCAGCTTCCAGCTGCTGCTCCCTGCTCCATTCAGCTGTCCACTTGGCCGAGATGTTTATGAGTTGACGAGGACAGGGAGCCGGCCCTACCGGTGGGTCCTTCTCTCATAATTCCCCCATACCCAGGGAAAACACACTCTACATATGCGATCTCAGGATCGTTTAATAAGCAAAAGAAGAAGAAGTTGACATAAAAGGAGCCGCCGGGATCATTTCCCCGGCCGCCAAAGCTCCATGTCCGCAGAGACCTTTTTACCAGCTTAGTAATCTCCTTGAAAGCCTTGTGTTCCTTGTCGCCCAGCAGGTTAAAGATCACGCTCTCCGAGCTGGCAATGGTGCAGCCGATGTGACGCAGTCGCTCCATGGCCAGATCCCGATCCTGGTTGAGCCGCGAGGCGCAGCAATCGGCCACCAGCCAGACGTCAATTTGCTCATTTATCAAATCAAAGGCAGTCTGTTCCACACACACATGGGTCTAAAGGAGTAGGAAATTTGAAATAATTCATTTGTATTCCAAATTATCCCTTAATCTCCTCTTGAAAGGACAACCCACCTCCACGCCAAAGAGCACCGCCGTCTTGGGCTTGCCACCGTAGAGTTCAGCCATGCTTTTGTGGATGGGATCCACCAGCATGGAGAACTTGGTCTTGGCAACATTGGTGCAGGCATGTTCTATGTTCAGTTCGGAGACCGTCTTGCCCAACTTCTCGGGATACTGCTCGGTGACCAGAAGGGGAACTCCCAAGGCCTTGCCAGCCGCCAGCTGGAATGCGAATGCATTAGAACCCGACCATTATCCTGTCACTTTTGCTGTCTCACCAGCTTGGCGGTGTTCTCGATGAGCGCACCCAGCAGCGGTATCGCCGGTTTGAACTTCTCCTGCACGTCGCACAGCATGAAGACGGTCTTCTCCGGCACCAAGCGGTATAAAGTTGATCCGAAGGCCTTCGCCATAATTATTTCTACGAATTTCGTAATGAAAATAGTGAAGTATTTGTTAGATAAAGTTTATGAATGTTTGCCACGTTTGAATTTTGCGCGAAAGCACTAGCGACCTCTGTCGGTAGTTACTCGAAAATAATATGTAGGGGTTTCAACTATTAAAAGTAAATTCTATTCTAAATACTTAATTTTTTATATATTTATTTAAATTTTTTTATTCTTTTATATTATTTATAAATATTTTTCATCAATATTGAAGTTTTTTAATATATATTATATATTTATTTAGCTCCCTCTGAACGCTTAGCTTGATTTTTATAGGCAACGTACGCCCTCTTGCGGTAGAAGGTGATACTAGGAATAGTTTATGGCAGTTGTAAACGTGTAAAATGCAGTCTGTACGCGTGTAAAGTATAGAATAACAAAAATGATTGCAAACACCGATGGTGCAAAAAATCGATGATTCGAAAACAATATATATCGATAGTGCTCAAATTTTTAGTTCGCTCCAACAGCCCACGAGAAAGAACTCTGTTAGTTTACGCTGTATGGAGCAGGTCGTTAATACATGTTACTTTTTAAATGAGAAACGTTGAAAAAGGGTTATATAGACGTGTAAGATGTAAAATGTTAAATAACAGAATGTTGTTCAAAACATTATCACATCATCGATATATCGATAAATTGTTATTGTCATCTTAAACAGCCCTAGTTTCTATTTACTGTTGCGGCTTTTTATAAACAACGTGGAGCTTTTCCCATTAAAACTACTAAATAATTAATGAAGGCAACAAACACGTGCCACGTTCTTTTGGCGTCACAGCCGGCAAAATTGTTACTGGAGCGAGAGCGGTATAGATAGAGTTGAAATAAGCCAAAGTCAGAGAATTTATTAACTGTTTAAGGAACTCACTATAATCGAACACAACAGGTGAGTATTTGAGGTGTTTAATGAAGATGTAACCCCTTCGAAGTGTTTCATAACCAACTCACCTGTGTACGCGAATGCTGTGGGTGAGGTTATTTCACGGCAACCACCGGTTGCTGCCGCAAAACGGAACCAGCGCGCTAATGACGAGGACGGGGCTACCTAATGGGCTACTGTCCCCCATCCCAGGCACCTCCATGCCCCCGCATCCGCCACTCTGTTGGCAGAGGACCAAGCAAAAGTTCCTGTCACGGCGCGGTTCGCAACTAATTTCAGCCGCATAAATTAATGCTCGCTCAAAATTGCCTAATAACCAGTGGCGACAGATAAGCAGCACGATTAATTATTACGCGCGTCCCTTCCCCCGATTCCCCCCTATTCGCCTCACACATGTCAACAAGCCAAGTCGAAGTCAGCAGCGACAGAGACAGCGGCAGCGGCAGCAGAAGCCTTTATCAATCGGGGACGCGGCAGAGGAGCAGCAGCAGCAGCGCCACAGCCGATGTCAACTTGAATTGATCGTCGATGTCGATGTGGATGAGGATGAGGATGGGGATGGGAAGACCAAAGCCCTCTAACGGCACTGAAAACAATTGTTCAATTACTCGGAATATTCTTTTATAAATAGGGTAAAGAACTTGTTCTCAAAAGTCAAGCAAAGATGCTTCTTTAAATCCTTATATCAAGGATATATATGGTCCAAACTCTGCCTCTCTTAGACTATAATTAAATTCGAATTTCGTCTAAAATTAATCCTCTTGAAGAAAACATTTAGTTCTTAATGTGAAACTATATTTTTATCCGTGTATCTCCTCTTCCGGTGCTCTCAACGCTTTCGCTCTCAATGTTCGCCACGCTCGAGAGCCGCAAAACTCTTTCGAGGCCCCCAAAAAGCAAGACAGCGCCGCACGTTTAGTTGCTCAGTGATCGCCAGAAGGCTACGTTGAAAAGCTACGAAATCATTTCGATTAATAACTGATAAATTGCCAGCGATTCGCACGGGCTGTGCTTCATTGGCAGCCGAAAGAGTGGGTTGTCCTCCACCGCCTTCTTCTCCATTATGTCACGTTGTAATCAAATTTCTCCTCTATTCCAGACAACTATCAACCAGAGAGATGAGTCTGCAGTCCATCAAATACTCACGGGGCAGCCTGGAGATCCTCGATCAGCTGCTGCTGCCCGTCCAGTCCAAGTACGTGGCCGTGCGCGGTGTGGAGGACGGCTGGAAGGTCATTAACAAGATGCAGGTGAGGAGGGATACCAGCTATTAGAACCATTATGAGGCCACTAATGGCAACATTCCGGCAGAGGCCATTAAAATTTCTTATTGGTACACTGCCTAATCTGTGCAATGATCGCTCAACGCTTGTCGTTTGTCGTCTCTAGCTTGCCCGGCTATAAATAACATAATTGAAATTAAAAATTTGTTAAAAACGCTTGCCAAAAATAAAACCACTCCTCCTCGGGCGTCACTTGCCGCCGAGGAGGGGCTCTTACTGGGCTAATGCCCCCAGATGCTCCATTGGTCGTCGAGCACGCGGCTTATCACGTGAAGCAGCCGACATAATATAATGTAAACTGTTTACTTTGTACGCCTCACCTGATAAGGCCTGGCAGTCGCCTAATCTCCTCGCTCTCCCTGAGGAATAATATCACACTAATTACTGTAATAGGTCTTATCTTATTATAGAACATGACATTACAAATATCAAAAAAGAAAACTATATACATTAACATTAAATAAACGGGGAATCTTTCACAATCCTAATGGGATTCCGATTCTGGCGGCCACAGCGATCTCTTAAGCGTAAAGATTGTTCCTATAATTGTGTTGTGGCAGGCCAGATTAACATTTGTTTGACAAAATAATCTACATCATCTGCCTTGTCGCTGAAATTCTTGAAAATCTTTCGCTTTAATTGGCTTTAAATTGCTTGTATATGTCTAGAGTTTATTTTAAACCAATTTTTTATCACATTTTTCAGATTTTATACCCTAATTTTAGTAAAACGCTTAAAAAACTGTGAAGGAGTCATTTCCGACCCTACAAATCATATATATTCTTGATCAGCATGAAAGGAGAATCGATATAGGCATGTCTGGTCAAAAAATAAATTTTCGAAAATTTTTCAAAATTTTCAGATTTTATAAGGGGTTACATCGTTAAAATTGTTAAAAATTGACAAAAAATTTAAATTCTTAAATTTGAAAACTGAGTATGCAGATTTGTTAATCTACTAAAAACTAGTATAGAACAGCTTTCCGAATTAAAATTAATGATTTTTTGGCTTAGTAATGAGTTTTTTTTAATTTTGATGTTTGGGAAAAATTGTCTGTTATTATACCTTTTTGCAGGTTATTATAATTTTAGTCAGAAACTTATAACAGCATCAACAAACGCAGTATGCATATTTGTTAGTGCTTTAAAAACTTGCACAGAAAAGCTTTCCGAATCAAAATTAATGCTATTTTGGCTTAATTATGATGTCCGAAAAACTTTGATTTTTCACTAAAATGGTCTGTTTTTATACCTTTTTGCTGGATATAATTTAAGTCAGAAGTTTGAAACTTAATGAAGGAATCATTTCCGACCCTATAAACCATATATATTCTTGATCAGCATTAACAGCACAGTCGTTCTGGCCATGTCCGGTCACGAAAGCAATTTTTGACATTTTTCCGAAAATTGAAAATTTTATAAGGGGTTACATCATTAAAATTGCCAAAATTTGACAAAAAATGGAATCTTTTAAATTTGAAAACTGAGTATGCAGCTTTGTTAATCTACTAAAACTAGCATAGATCAGCTTTCCGAATTAAAATTAATGATTTTTTGGCTTAGTTATGAGTTTTTTTAAACTATGATTTTTCGGAAAAATTGTCTGTTTTTATACCTTTTTGCCGGTTTTTATGATTTAAAAAAAAAACTGGCAGCAGCATTAACAAACGCAGTATGCAGATTTGTTAGTGCAATAAAAACTAGCATAGAACTGCTTTCCGATTTAAAATTAATCCAATTTCGGCTTAATTATGATGTCCGAAAAACTTTGATTTTTTTTTTAAATGGTCTGTTTTTATACCTTTTTGAGGAATATAATTAAAGTCAGAAGCTTGTAACGCAGTGAAGGAGTCATTTCCGACCCTATAAACCATATATATTCTTGATCAGCATCAACAGCCCAGTCGTTCTGGCTATGTTCGGTCGAAAAATCAATTTTTGGCATTTTTCCGAAAATTGAAAATTTCATAAGGGGTTACATCATTAAAATTGCCAAAATTTGACAAAAAATTGAATCTTTTAAATTTGAAAACTGAGTATGTAGCTCTGTTAATCTACTAAAAACTAGCATAGAACAGCTTTCTGAATTAAAATTAATGATTTTTTGGCTTAGTTATGAGTTTTTTTAAACTATGATTTTTCGGAAAAATTGTCTGTTTTTATACCTTTTTGCGGTTTTTTATAATTTTAGTCAGAAACTTATAACAGCATCAACAAAACCAGTATGCAGATTTGTTAGTGCTATAAAGACTTGCACAGAAAAGCTCTCCGAATCAAAATTAATGCTATTTTGGCTTAATTATGATGTTTGGAAAACTTAGATTATTTAAGAAAATTGTCTGTTTTTATACCTTTTTGCAGAGTATAGCTTCAGTCAGAAGATTAAAACGCAGTGAAGTAGTCTTTTCCGACCCTATAAACCATATATATTCTTGATCAGCATCAACAGCCCAGTCGTTCTAGCCATGTCCGGTCGAAAAATAAATTTTTCACATTTTTCCGAAAGTTGAAAATTTTATAAGGGGTTACATCATTAAAATTTCAAAAAATTGGCAAAAATTTCAGTTTTCTAAAATTTTAATTAAGTATGCAGATGTATAAACCTTATAAAAACTAACATAGGAAAGCTTTCCGAATTGAAATTAATGCATTATTGAGTTAGTTATGGTGTTTTGAAACTATGAATTTTCGAATTAATTGTCATATAACCTTAGTTATGATCGATTTCCGACTCGATCCTTTAATTTAATTGCAAACTGCACGGATATGTAATCTTTTCGCTTTCCGAAGTTTCCTTTTCTTTTAATAATACATTTAATAATATCAATCTCTTCAATTTTCTGCGATAAAAACTATAACTAATAGATTAATTTCCCTCTCCTTCCAGGTACGTGGTGCTCCCGCCATTGCCATTGTGGGCTGCCTTTCCCTGGCCGTTGAAATCCATCCCGAGGAGTTTGGCAGCAAGAAATCGCTGCGCCAAGAGGTCGAAGGCAAGCTGAACTACCTGGTCTCGGCCCGACCCACGGCTGTTAACATGAAAATCGCTGCCGATGAACTGCTTGTCCTGGCCAATGACCTAACCAAGGATGAGACCATCGACGTGGGCGAAATGAAGCAAAGGTAACACACACACAAACTGGTCGCTAAGCAAGCAAGACGGTGCCGCCAACGTATCGCATGTTCCCATTCAAGATTCCTGAGTGCCACCGAAGCGATGCTAAAGAAAGACATTGCGGATAACCGGGCCATTGGAGCGCATGGCGCCAAGGCGATTCTACAGCGGGTTGCAGAGACATCTGGTGCTCCAGCGGGTGCAGGAGTTCGAGTACTAACCCATTGCAACACGGGCTCCCTGGCTACTGCTGGATATGGCACAGCACTCGGCGTAGTGCGTCAGTTGGCGGAGCTGGGAAAGTTGGGTAAGTACTTGGTAAGAGGAACCTTGTCCTGCCTTAATAAACCTTAGAACTCCTTACTTATAATTACTTTTTCTTTTTTAGAGCACGTTTACTGCACAGAGACTCGTCCTTATAACCAGGGTGCACGCCTGACAGCCTATGAGTTGGTCCACGAGAAGTTCCCCGCCACCCTGGTGCTGGATAGCATGGTGGCTGCTCTCCTGAGGGCTAAGAATGTGGCTGCAGTTGTTGTGGGAGCGGATAGGGTAAGTAAATAGGTTCAAACATTCACCAGAAGAGTCGAATTGGAACAAATACCAATTTAATAATATTAAAACATAATATTTATGGATTTCTATTAACTGTTGGAAAGCATTCTGCAGTCAATTCATATTCATAATCTTTAAATAATTCTAAAAATAATCTTTGTTATAAATAGCCCAGTTTTATGGCGAATCGATTGGCTTATAATGTTCCAAAATCTTGTATTTATTTGTATATATCCCCCCCACAAATCGATATTAATTGTGTATCCTTTCTTTTTCTAGGTGGCTGCTAATGGCGACACGGCCAACAAGATTGGCACCTACCAGATCGCCGTGGTTGCCAAGCATCACGATGTGCCCTTCTATGTGGCCGCCCCGCTGACCTCCATCGATTTGGCCATACCCGGCGGCGACCACATCATCATCGAGGAGCGGCCCGATCGAGAGATGACGCACGTGGGTGAGCATCGCATCGCTGCGCCGGGCATCAACTGCTGGAACCCCGCCTTCGATGTGACACCCGCCGCCCTGATCACCGGCATCATCACAGAGCGGGGCGTGTTCAAGCCCGCGGAACTGAAAGAGGCGATCAACAAGCTCCTCGACTCATAACAGGCGCACAGAGATTGTTGTTTACGAATGCACTCCATACCCCCGAAAAAAACCGAAACAGAAGCAGAACCCAAAACAAAAAAAAAACCACGAAAAACAAGAGCACACTCGCGCGCTCGGAATAGGCATTTTGCCAGCTGAGTTTTGTATACAAACGCCTGCCGCCTGCCTAGCAGATGTGGGTCGGCCGCTGGGAAAATACAACGCACAATATACCTCCTACATATGTAGCCCCATTCTCGACCATTTGTTCCCCTTTTTGGGAGCATTGTTCCCGCCGGCTTTAAAGCAGCTTGAACGTGGATCAACGCCGACCAGAAAGTGCCAGGAGCGCCATGGAATCACACCGCCTGCTGACGATCGTACTGCTGCAGCTGCTGGTGCTGGGTCAGTCCAGGGCCAACAGTGGCCTAAACTTGCAGAACAACTACAGGAACATGCTGGTGCGCCTGAACACAAATAAGGCAGCCCTTGGAGGGGTCCAAGAACTTCGAGAAGGACTTGTGAGGTGAGCTTCGATTACGGCGCCACATGGGGCACCATCTGCAGCACGTCGTGGAGCATGCGTGAGGGCAATGTAGTCTGTAGGCAGCTGGGTCTGGGCTACGCCTCCAAGGCCACGCTGAGCACGGAGCATGGGGACAACAAGAAGCATCCTTGGGCCATGGTGGGAACTCTCTGCCGGGGCACAGAGTCTCGGTTAGCCGAATGCACGCGAGAATCTCTTTACCCAAGCCTTTGTAATGCACGAAATCACAATGTTAGCGTGGTGGCCTGCGTGAGTCACTCAGCTGATCTCGAGATTGGACTGGCGGATATCGAGAAGACCGCCCGCCTGGACGCAGTACCCATGTCACGTCTCACCTGCGCCATGGAAGAGCACTGTGTGTCCGCCGATGCTTATGAGATTCGCAGGACGCAGCCGAATGCTGCCAGGCTTCTGTTGCGCTTCTCCGTGAAGGCCTCCAATGTGGGCACTGCCGATGTGAGTCCTTATGCCAACTACAAGGACTGGGTGTGGCATCAGTGTCACCGCCACTACCACAGCATGAACGTGTTTGCCACTTTCGACGTGTATGATCTCAAATACAGGAAGGTGGCCCAAGGACACAAGGCCTCCTTCTGCCTAATGGACACCGATTGTCAGCCAGGTGTCCGCGCCAAGTACACCTGCGGGAATACCACCCAGGGTAAGTCTGTGGACTTTTTTTTTTGTCCTGAATTGTCTTTAATATAAAATTTTCTTTTCCTGGCAGGCATATCTGTGGGCTGTGCTGATACCTATACGCATGTCCTGGATTGCCAATGGGTGGATGTGACCAGAGTGCCTATAAATCGTCGCTACATCCTCCGGGTGGCCCTTAATCCGGAGTACCGGCTTGGAGAGATCTCCTTTGAGAATAATGGAGCCGAATGCCTTCTCGATTACACAGGAGTGAGCAGTACGACCAGGATCTACAATTGTCGGCGTTCGCCCTTGTGGTTTAGGAAATGAGTTTTGATGTAAGTTGTAAGATAGTTCTAGGCGGTGGTGGTAAATATATTTCTTGGTTATGGCATACTTTTCGGGGGACTTATCACTGCTCCTAGTAGCAAAACAACTATAAAGATTTGGGGAAACTAGTTTTGGGTGGGTTTGATCCATACATTTGAAGTTAAAAGGTTGCATAAATGCAGAGAATGATTGAGGTCATCCTAGGATCCAAGTTTAGCCAAAATTATGGGGTATAACCTATCTACAACACGTTGATACTGAAAAGTTCCTTATAAACCCAATAAGAAAGTCCGCTTAGGTTGTAGTTAAATACGTTTATTGTTTCTGAATGTTCATCTCTTGACGTTTTGTATTCTTGTATCATTTCGCTTACAGAATAGATTTATTTATGTGTATGTATGTATATCTGGTATTCATGATGCTCTCTATAAATATGCCTTTAATTGCTAAAGATAAATATTTCGGCGCTTGCTCGGTTTGGTTTTTACTTTACTGTGGCTGCAGTGCTAAATGGGATTCAGGGCCGATGGCGCTTGTCTGCTTTGTGCTGGTAGTTGTGGTAGTAGTAGTAGTAGTAGTTCTTTTTCAATCTCTATATGCCTTACAATTTGCTAGTTGTGCCTAAAATCAAATGAATTGAAACTAAAATTCGCCCCGGGGCGCTGGGCACTCCCCACAACTGCCACCAATTTCAATAATTATAATAATTAATCTTCAATATTAACATAATAAATTCTCCAATTGGTTTCATTTGTTTTCATGTTTTCATGTTTTTCTTTCTTTCATTCTTTGTTGCTAATTACAAAATGCCTACGCTACGTTTACACAAAACTTAGACACTAGCCGACATCGATATCTCAATGGATTAGCATTAGTTAGCATAACTTGTTGTTGTTAAATTTATTGCATGACAAAACAAATATCAGTAATATCTCCAACTTAAACTTAGACAACAGAAAAGGCTTTAAGAACAATATATAGATGAGAAGCTTAGCAAAAGTGTGCGGCAATAAAAATTAAAAGTCGTTTATAAATAATTATAGGTTTCTTTTTAAAATGTACAATCCACATACACATCATGTGTATGTCCGTATCTATGCTTTTAGATATAGTAGCATGTGTGTGTGTGTGTTAAGTATTTGTTAAAAATGCATTCAAGTTTTCGAGTATTCATGTCACTTGCTTAACTTACAAATGCCAACAAGAACGAGCATCTTCCAACGCTGTTCCCGTTGAGCACAAGCTACTTTACAAAAATTACAAATTATTCTGCTGGCGTTGCCTCTACTTTGCTTCCGCTTCCGCTTCCGGTGCTGCTTCAGCTACAGCTCCTGGTTGATGGTAATGCATGTTTTAGATGATCAATTTTTTATAGATATTTAAATAGCGCTCGTATTTTAAGTAACATTATCTTCTTTTTTTGGGGGGTGCTGTGACAAAAGTTCGCCTTTGCGCTGCAAGTGCTATTAGCTCTCAAAGTCGATTAGTGAGTGGTAATTATCGAAACCACATTCTCAATTAAGTAACGCTCTAATGTGTGCTTTCTTTCTTTCTGTATGGAGAGGAGAGTCTTTTTGGAAACATTTATAAATATATATATGTGCGTGTGTAGTCATCGAAATCAGCTCGCAATTTCATTAGAAAAGTTGATGTAAAAATACAATTTCAAAAATGCTTCTTGCGCGTCAACTGAGTTTTGTGGGTTTTGTAATTGCGTTAGGTTGTTGTTGTGCTACGATGTCCTTCGGCTGAATACCCCCATCTGGGGGGGTAACTGTGCGCAATTTGTGCTATGTGTCGACGATGACTCCTTCTTTATCTTCGCCAGGCTCCTCCGTCCTCCGCTTAGCGGCTTCTTCGACTAATCTATGCTATCAGCTCTCGACCGTCGTGGAGGACACGCTGTGACTAGTGGTTAACAGATGCTCGGGAATGGGTATGGGCTGTGTGCGAGCCGGTTGCTTCTTCTACAAAGAGAGAGAGGTTATTAAAGGGGATCAACTTTTAAGACTCAGCTTAGTAACTCACCTTCCGGCGGAAGGGGAAACATCCCGCCTTGTCCGGTTCGGGCGTTGCATTGATCTGCAAATCTGGCGTTGGGCACTCCTCCGGACCGAATACGTTCAGCTCCCGAAAGCACTCGGTTTCCATCATTTCATTTGCCACGAAATGGACACGGAGCCCGTGTTGAATTTCGTATAGAAATTCGTGTCCGAGTCATCGATATTGACGCCCTTCACCGTCGAGAACTGTTCAATATCTAGCACATCTTTGGCGTAAACGGCATGCGGCTGTGGATGATGATGAAGATGATGGAAAAATTGATTTAAGTCGGTGCTTCAAGCAGGCGGCCAAAGCCAATATCGGTGCCTCATATGCAAATGAGTCAACAACTCACGTCTGGCACAAAGGGCGGCTCCAGCATGCCAGCCTCCAGCCGGCGCCAATTGAGCTGGGTGGAGTGGAAAAACGGGTGGGCCATCACGTCCTGGGCCCCCATGCGTCCGTTGCGGCAGCCCAAGCGCTGCTTTATCGATTTAGCTAACAGCTGTTGGCACATTGATTTGGCTTCATCATTAAACTTGCTCGAATACTTTTCGGGATCCTCCTGTGAATGGTATAAATTTGAAATTAATATAAATGCATAATGTGAGGAGTAGGGAAGGATATTAGTCTACATTTCTGCATTTTAAATGGGTTTCTTTTAGGGGAAAACTTGAGTACAGTACGTTTTGATATATGAGAGATAAAATAATATTCTGTTTCATTTAGCGAATTAATTTTAGTTTTTAAATCAATTCTTATAAAATTGATGTAACGTTTCTATAATATTGATATTCTACGGTTAAAGGCAATACGTATCATTATGTAAATTGGTTTTGCATCGAACTAAAACACATTTTATGTGGTATCATTTTGAACCAATCCACGTTTTTTTATATGGTAATTTTTTTTGATAAATTCCAGTTTTTAAAGTATCATAACTAAGCCAATAAAGCAGTTAATTCAATTTCAAAATCTCCTTTTTGTAAGTTTTTGGAAGCTTAATAAATCTGCATATCTTTTTTTAAATTTTAAAACATTTACATTTTTGTCAATTTTTGATCATTTTAATGATGTAACCCCTTATAAAATTTTCCAATTTTGCAAAATTTTCGAAAAATGTATTTTTCTATCAGACATGTCCAGATCGATTCTCCTTTTTGTGCTGACCAGAATATATATCATTTATAGGGTCGGAAATGATTCTTTCACTGCATTACAAGCTTTTGATATTAATGATAATACCAAACCAGAGTATAGATAACTTTTTGCAATCATTATCATTTTGGGGATCTTATGCCCTCAATAAATTTAAAAATGTATGTATTCTTTAAATCAATTGACATTTTTAAATGATAACATATATGTTTCTATACCCCTACATCTGAAGCTTAAATATACATAGCCAGATGGTTTTCTAAATATAAAATTCCTATACTTTTGAGCGTCATATACTAAGTCTAGACTCTACGGTTTACTTACCTTAACGCGTCTGTCCACCTCCTCCCGCTTAACTTTCTCCTTGCGCATCCGGAACGGCGCCTGTCCCTCGATCATCTCGTACAGCAGGCAGCCAAAGCTAAACCAATCCGGTGAAAAGGCGTACTTCTCATTATCGATGACCTCGGGTGCCATGTAACCTAGTTGAAAGAATTCAAATCGAACCAATTTAGCTATGCTGCTAAGTGGCAATCAATTCCAATTTACTCACCCACTGTGCCCACCCGGCCGCGAACCATCTCGCCCTCGGGTATCTCAACGGCCAGGCCCAGGTCAGAGATGCGTACGTGGCCATGATCATCCAAGAGGATATTCTCCGGCTTACAGTCCCGGTAGACGATGCCCTGCTTGTGAAGATGCTGCAGGCCGCAGGCCACCTCGGCGGCATAGAAGCGGGCACGCTCCAGCTCGAATCCCGGGTCGCCACCCATGTTGTAAATGTGGAATTTCAAATCGCCGCCTGCAAGGGAAAAGGACATTTGATTGTCTTCCTCAAACAATGACAGGTCCCAGAGCCTTATATTGGCACAATGCCTCGGCCTGGGCTTTTGTGCACAAATTCAATTAGGTTGTCGATTGACGGATTTACGGACAAATGGGATGGGACGGGACAGGACAGGACGGCTGGCACGATGACTTCTCCGGGAAACAGAGAGAGGCATTGTGGCAGCAGCTTGAATGAGCAGAATTTAATTAAAATCGCAAACTCAATCATTGCATGGATTACACATGCATTTGTTATCGTTTTAATGAATGCATGCAAATGCCGGACTCTGGATAATTGGTAGCGAAGGACATTCCCTTGGACTGGGGAATGGGAATGAGAATGGGAAAATAACTGGATTAACTGATAAAAAAAGAGACTCTGGACTTAATTAACCCTAACTGGCCAACCATCGACACCTGGCTACATGGTGGAGTGCATCGCCAGGTGGAATAAGTGGATAATACCCACCATTCATTATGGTCAGGACCAGGCAGAGGGCATCCTTCGTCTCGTACGCGTAGGCCAGATTAACCACGAATGGCGAGTTGATTTTCTGCAGTATCTGCTTCTCGATTAACACCATCGACTCGCCCTTTCGCTTCTTGATGCGTTTTTTCTCCAGCTTTTTGCACGCGTACATTTTCCCAGTGGCCCGAACCTGCAAGAGCAAAGAGACGACAGGGCGTATGAAAACGAGGTCAGAGGCCACAGGTGGTGATTTTCCGGCTTACCTGACAGGCGCACACCTCCCCGAAGCCACCCTTGCCCAGGACTCGGTACATGCGAAACGTTTTATAGGTGATTGGCTGTGCCTCCAGCCACTTCCATTGCAAGTATCTGGTTGGGGAAACATGAAAAACAAGGAAACGAATTAATGAAATGTTATTTTTAACGTTTAAAGATAGTCGATTGTGGCAATACTTAATTCTCACACTTATAACTGAGTTATAAGATGGCTTAACCTTTCCCCTAAAGTTTTCCTTATAGTTATATACCAACGCACCTGTGAAAATACATAGAGTTTTCAAACTCCCGGAACGGTTCACCGGCTAGAAACGCTTTCACTGCGGTCACGCACTGGCCAAAGATGTCCTTGCCGCCGCTATTGAGTTTATTACGCACTTGCGCAATGAGATCATCGTTGAGCACGTCCAGCACGAGTTCGTCGGCAGATCCCCCGGCAGTTGTGCCATTCCCAGCACCAACTCCTCCTCCTACTCCTACTCCACCACCGCCACCATCTACTCCTCCGCCGCCGCCTCCCTCGCCACCGCCCTTCTCCGCTCCATTGTCATCGTGGCTGTCCAGGCACTCGACGCCCTCATCTCCGTCGTCGTTGCTCCCGTTCCCGGTGGCATCGTCGCCGTTGTGATTGCGTGTGTCCAGCTTCTTGTGATTGATGTTGCTGCTGTGCGAATTGGTGGTGGTGGTGTTGCTGTTGCTGTTGTTGATGTTGTTGCAGTTGTTGGCGGTGGTATTGTTGCAGTGTTCAGTCTCAGCTGTTTCAGTTGGATTGGCATTGCTGCTGTTGAGCAGCAGCTCCTCCTGCGTCTCGGCATCGAGGGCATCGCCACCGCTTCCATTGCGTAGCTCCGGCTGCGGCTCCACATCCAGGAAGCGTCGCCCGATGTCATGGCCAATGAATATGCGGTTAACGATATACTCGATTTCGTATCTGCAAAGCGGAAAGGATTTAGATTAGTTGGGAATCGATTTAGGATTAAGCGTAGTCCTTGAACTTACTTGACCACCTGATCTAGGAAGGTGATGTAGCGAAAGTAAACGGGCCGCTTGTTCTCGCAAAACAGGCGAAAGAGCTCACGACCAATGGGTTGTTGATCTATCACGTAGCCATAGCTTATATCTGAGGGAATTTATAATTAAATACGAATTAATAAGGATCATATGTAATGTAGGTAATCCTGGGCCTCACCTAGTTTGTCTTTCAGGTTTATGCATTGCGATATGTGTGGGAATTGCAATATTTTGCGCCATTTTTTGCTCTTTCCCTTGTTGCTGTCGGAACCACCTGAAAAATTCAATAAAATAATCACAATTAAGACGAGAGAATTATTGAGGATTTTACTCTCTATTGACCTTTTATGCATAAACTATTTGAATGGAATTTCTAATTCCTCTCAACCAACACACACTCTTCAGGTGAGATTACTCTGAGATCCAAGGACAGGTGGTAAAGTGAGCATTTTGCCAAGATAAACTGGAGAGAAGGGTTCGTGGTGTGCACTGATTGGTACTCTGCAGTGCCATCGACAAGCTCTTATTCAGTCTGGTTTAACGTCATGCTGGCAATTCTGTTTTATTTGCACTTGCAACGAGCCATAAAAACAATATTTCCAATGTGAAATGCATAAAATGCATCCACATAAACACAGGACTGGGGACTGGGGACAGGGAACTATGGACTGTGGACTGAGGGAAATCACAAAATAAATTGCATTGAGTGCTGCATTCACTGTACTCTACCGTTGATTCGTGATTCGTGACACTTGAAGCGGCTGTTGACACTGCTGGCCAGCGAATGAATGGTGCGAATCAGTGTTTATGTAGGCCCCAGATCTCTCATCTCACGAACAAAGCCCTTTACACAGCCGCAGTAAATTTCATTTTTATTTATTTATTTATCTGGGTGACCACACAAAAGCCTCATTACACCGAATAAATCACTAAATCAACGCTGGACTACTACTTCCAGTTCTCTCAGTGCCAGTGCCTGGCCAGTCGATAATAGTAGAGCCATAAAATCTAACAAGAAAATTAAGTGTATAGCCAGGCCGAGCCCAGGTCAAGGAGAGAGAAGCAGAGGAGCGTTGAGGGGGTGGCCAGTGAGAGGGCATAAATGTCAGAAGCAGTCAAAATCAAGTGCAAAACGTAGCGAGTTCGCAACAATGTCGAAGCGGAAGCGGAAGGAGCGGGTGAAGTAGGGAACAGAAACAAAACCAGTCAAGGAAAATGGGTTAATATGCCCATCGTTACTCCATATACACACACAGCCATAGTCGGGGTTAATATAATAGTAACAAAAGATGTTGAATAATAAGCTAAAAGAATTTATTCTTGGGGAAAATATGAAATATTATAAATGTAGATATATTTTACTGTGTGTAAAAGTGACTTCCTGGTTACTCAGTTAATATTTATCCAAATTTTTAAAAAATAAAACCTACAACTATTCCCACAACCTTTGCTATCTAAGTGCCGCCCTGAAAAGTATGCTATACATGGCTCAAAGGCTGGCTCTGCCATTTAATACAATGAAGGCAAGGCAAGGCAAGCCAAGGCGTGTGCTTATGGCGTAAAAGCAACCTTGTAATTTTGATTTCCCAAACAGAGTTTTGCCATTCACACTGGCATTCAGTTTCTGGTTCTGGTGCGTTGAATGTTCTTTGAATACCCAGAGAATAGTTAGACCTGTCTGGCCACAAGTGGGAGGAGAGCGAACGAACATTAGCCACTTATTTATGTTGCCAACAGTCTGTTGCCAAAAGTTTAGTCCTTCCCGCCACCGCCCCAAAGCTAGCTTAAAGTTCCTTCCTTGCGAGGATCTTTTGCCAAGCGTTCGCATTTAATTTAGTCTCGGTGCAATTATGCAAAAATAAACTCACTCTTTGAAGGACAGCGGCAGTAGTCGTAATTTCCATAGAGTAGCAGACGCCACCTGAAGGATGAGTTGCTGCTTTTGCTCTTCGCTTAGTTAAATGAAATTACCGGGAAAAAGTTGTTGGGGAAAAAAGGGAGAAGTTAACCCTAAGCCAGGAGTGGGCATGGGGCTTACAAAAGTTTGCCCAACTAACAATTAGGGAACAGAGAGAAAGCAAATATCAAATGTGTGTGTGAGAGGCCCAAAGCCGAGATTGTGGGATTAAAACGGAAAGCCCTTTTAAATGGCATTAAATGTTTATTAAAATCCCAGTTTATTTGACATCAAAAACAAAAACAAAGATAAAATATGGGATATTAATCTGATTTAAGTGGAATCTTTAGGCCATATAAAGGCACCAGAAAATATATGTATGGATTTCTATAATCACTTTCTCTGGACATCGATGGTCCTGGGAATCTACCAATAAATGGACAGCTGCCCCTTAAATGCTACTTCGGCTAAGGTCGAGGGCAAAGTTTTTGTAAAGTTTTTGCAATTATTTGGCGAGGCGTAAAAACAGAAGCAACGCCGAAGCCAAAGCCAACGCCACATTTCAATGAATTACCCGAACATCCCAAGAAACTTGTACGTGAAATGGAAATGGTGGAAAAGTCAGGGGAAAAACATTTTCAAAACAAATAAATCGTATTATGTGAGGAGGGGTTTTGGTTCGCTTCGGTTCGGTACATGGGGAAAAAATTGGAAAAAGAAAAGTGCTATAAAAACTTATTAATGAAGCCATCGCAAGGCTAATTTGCGGTTGATGGCTTTTCTAATTAAAACCAATCAATAAGAAAAATTGCGTCCACTTCCGCACTCAGCTCGGGCTCCACTCCTTCCGGTCCTGGTCCTTGGTCTTGAGGCAAGTCAAGCGGCTACAAATGCAATTTGTCAGCCAGAGCGACTGACAACTGCAATGCCGGCTAATTGAGGCGCCCAGACGTAAACACAAGATATAGGATAGGATAGGGATCCGGATAGGGATAAGGACTCATCACTGGCGACATGGAGACTTAAGGGGAACCTCTTTTATTTACGACTCAACAAGTTGACACGAGATTACGGGTCAGAAAAATATAAAAGAAATTACAATTTACATTAAACGTTCGCTGATTTATCGATTCGCATTAAAAGTTTCGGGGGAGCAAAACTTTTATGGACCCCAACGGCGGACCCAACGCCATCCTTACGATCAATTTTCCCGCTGGACGCCAAGAAGTATGTGACATAATTTATAAGTGTCAAGTTGTTCCGCCGCTCTTGCTCTCGTCCGTTCGCTCGCCGTTTTTAGTGTAATTTGATGTAATTTTTCAGCTTGATGAACACTGGCCAAGTAGTAGCGGAGATCCACGAGGCAACCACCAACTGTTAGCTGCAATTATTTATGGTCCCCGGCTCCCCCTCTTCCACTCGAGGACTCTCGTCCTGGTCCAAGGTTAAGTGCGTGCTAATAAGCTCACGGCCAAGGCCCTGGGGAGCCATCGCAAAAGGCTTTCGATTGACTGGGGAAATCTATTATGAGGCGTTGAAGTTGGGCGAACTGAAACCCAAGCTCTGTCAGCCCAAAGGGAATAGGGAATGGACAGACAGAGCCCGGAATATGGCAAATAATTGAAGCTTTTTAGCTGAAGAGTAGCCGATAAAGTGATTAAGGTAACGAATTAAATGGAAAATCCGCAAAAAAATAAATTTTTACTCATCAAATTTAACCAGTTGCCAGCCCACTGATGAATCTGACATATTAATAATGTGTCGCTCTTCAACCCCACTTAACCTCTCATTTGTCTCTGTTTTTTATACACTTTTTGTATTTTCTGCTCTTTGCAATTTGATTGTTTAAAGTTCAGCGTCACGACAGCGACAGCAAAAACCAAACATGCATTAAAGCAGCAGCACAACAATGTTCAACAACAATTTGTACACACACCTTGCTAATGCAAAACAAACAGGCAACACAAACAGAAACAACAAATAAGAAAAATAATAATAAAAACGGAAAAAATATACAATAACAAGCAACAGCGACAACGTCAGCATTTCAGAGACGTTGCGTTACGCTGACGATTTACCTACAGCGAAGCGCACATTAAATTAATTATTACTGTTAAAAACCCATAAAAATACAAAATAACAATAAAAAGCCGTAAAAGTTACGCCGCCAGCAATCGAAAAAGTTGATTGGCAGTCGCATAACGCAAATCTTCCAACACATTCACATTCACATCCTCCCTCGAACCTTTTCGATGGGTTTTTTTGTTGGGTGGGAGGGAAGGTCGGGGAAAAATAAAAGCAGATACCGACACACGAATTGCATGTAAATTTGTAATTGATTGGGAAATACCTATTAATTGTGAGATCCATAGAGCAATCCTAGAACTATAGATATGTTTTTGGTATGCTAAAAAGTCACCAGGAACTTAAAAATCACTTCTTTTACTGCCGGAAATAAGGCATGAAAGAGCTAATCCTAAAGGAAGAAGCTCTTTGGATGCTCAGATATTGTCAATATTATTAGGAGAAGTTCGAGTTTATCAAAAATGATCAAGATTATTAAAAAATATGAATATTAATACTAAACCTTTCCAGAGTATAATCATTTAAGTCAAAAGCCTAAAACGCAGTGAAGGAATCCTTTCCGACCCCATAAATCTATATATTCTTAATCAGCATCAGAAATCGAATCGATCTAGCCATGTCCGGTCAAAAAATAACATTTTGAAAATTTTTCAAAATTTCAAAATTTTATAAGGGGTTACATCATTAAAATTGTCAAAATTTGACAAAAAATTAAAGTTCTTAAATTTAAAAACTCGATATGCAGATTTGTTAACCCTACAAAAACTAGCACAGAAACGGTTTCCGAATTGAAATTAATGCATTTTTGGCTGAGTTATGTTAGTTGAAAATGTTCGATATACCCCTAAAAATAGCAGATAACAAATATCGATTTAATATTCGTAGAAAACACATATTTAAGGTTTTCTAGAAGTATACGAAAGCCAATAAGACATTTTTTCCTGATATATTTAACAGAATGTCAATTTTTTGCAAATAAATATAAATTTTTATATCGACACAGCTTTGTGTTTCTATATATTCTGCCATCACTGGTCTCAATTTATGTGAATTTAATCAGCAAAACGCTCAACTGTTATTCCAACATTAAATGAATATATATAATCATTAAGTTATCCTCTCATAATACATTATTTTCCGCACAAAAAACTACTCAAAGAGGGAGAGGTCAGTGCAAAAATGCAGCAAAGGGAATGCCACGCACGGAATGCAGATAATGGCACTTTGCACACTCTCTCCGATAAATATGGAATGGGATTAACCAACTAATTAAATGCGTGATAAAATAATTA